CCCACGGCTGAAAGGGGCAAGTATGTTTGGTGTGACGGGGATTCGAACCCACGACCCTAAGATTGCGAGTTGAGCGCCCTAGCCACCTAGCTATGCCTGGCCCAGTATACAGACCGTTAGAAGCAGAACTCGCAAGGCCGGTTTGTATGCTACGCGTCTATAGAGGTGCATTCTGCTCACAACGAGGCACGAAGTAACTCTCCAGAAATGGTATGAAGAACGCATCCATTGGACGACAGCATGTGATGCAAGACTTGCCAATTTTTATATACTGCCAAACTTTATAACTTATAGAGAGTGATCTTAAGTATTCAGCAACAATGCCAGCCTGCCTTCATAGTAACTATACCCATACTGAATTGAAATGTAGAGATGTAAGGTTATCTTCAACAAACGTTAGTTTAAGAGCGTAGGCTGCATGATCAGTACTTTGCAATCTGGATAGCATGTGGGATCATTAGATTTCTGATATACATAAAAACCAGGTGGGATGGTAAAGAATCACATAATTTTACAATTTCTTGTCATAGATAAAATAAACATTACGACTATCTAAAATTTAACAGTCTTGAAAATTTTTTTAATGTAATATCGACTGTTCTTCTTAATAACCAATCACTGAACAGAGTTTTAAAGTACAAAATACGTTCATAATTAAAATTGAAAGGAATCACGATTAAACACATGATGGCTACTAATTTTCCTTTTATACAGTTCCTGTGACGACTTTAATGAGCTTCGTTTCAACATTTAATGCACGAATTTGGGGTCAACGTATCATCGCTTCAGATAAAACGTATTTAGTTGGGTTGATGAGAAAATACATTTCTCGAAAATGCCGTTCTTAAAAGGTTTTGTTTCAGACATTTCACGCTAAGCCTCACAAAGAGCTGTCTGTGCATACCTGTCTCTAATTTTGAACTAAAGGCAGCTAGTCAGCAGCACCAACTGCCAATTCTTGGACTACTATCCTCTGATCAAATAGTGAGTTTTGACCTTCACTCTTATAACGCACACACGACCATAAAGTGTTGAGCGTGTTTATACGGCAACATGCTGCGAGCCATGAATCCTTGGATTCACAGTCCAAGCACACTAACCACTTAGCCACGACCAGCCTGTCGGTCTTGATGTAGGTTTTGTTACATGATGTAAGTTTATTTTCATTTAAGTTGGCAGTTTCATTTTGGAAATGTCTTAGTTTTGTTTTACTGACAAAAGATGGAAACATTTTGAGTAATTCGACTTTGTAACTTAGTAATTGTGTATGAGCGTCTAGATGGGTCACCTGGACAAAAACCATCATCCATAACACAAGCATACGATAGCTATCTACGAATTCTGGATCGATGCAAGGTTACACAGGGTGTTTACTCTTAGAGTGAATCATGTGTTTGTATCTACAATCGTATGCCACTTCAATCTTCAAGTTTTGGTATTAGAATGTCGATGAAAAGCCTTTGAAATAACCAAACAGACTAACATGCCGGAAAACGATCAAAATGCAGTACTCATTTTAAGACAATCAATTGGAGACTCCAATGTAACTGAATTTACGGCCTATCAATAGTTTCTGATTAAAAAAAAAAAAACTTGTGATAAATTAACTAATTTCATTACCCCCCCCCCAAAAAAAACGTTAAAAGTTGCCACACTAACTAAGTAAGGTAGAATAATTTAATAAATTCGGAAAAAAGTACTAGATGATAACTTATAAAATTGAAATCGGGAAAACAATAATTGTGGAAAAAATATGCGGGTATTTGCAGCGGTATCAAGATCATAGTGTCACCACCTTACATCATAAAAAGTATACTATATATAATCAAAGTATGTTTACCTTGTGCAGAGATGGATGAGGCAAGGCAGAAGATGCTGAGAAGAGATACAAACAGATTTCTTTTCTGGACTGCCATCTTTCTTTCTATTTCCAATTTCTATATTTTCAAGGTGTTTCAACTTCCTGAAGAAAAACAACACTGAAAATTAAAGGAACGTCCGACACCACTTTCTATCTCATTTAGTTAGTCATTTCTCATCAACTTCTGGTGAGTTCGAAGCAGAAGCCACTATGACAGTATTTCAATATTTTGATCTAATTTTCAATTATTTAAACGCATATGCTTGGATACATATATTAGTCTTATTATTTGCATTCAATATTTCTAAGTCGTAAAGGTGAGAGAGGAACGCTCCATGTGGCTTGCCTCTGCGAAACCCCTCTCTTAACATTTGTACCGAACGACGACAACAAGTGAAGGTCGTTTCCTGAAATCCTTGATACGAACCTTCCGGGCAAACTAACGAGCCGTGAGCGAGCAGGAAAACCCTGATCTTGAAACTAATTTGTGTCACGTGACACAGGTGGCGGTATTGCAGTTTCGCTTTCGAGTTAAAAGTTTCTCGCACAACGGAATAGGAGGCGCCTGCGTTAGGGGTCAATATCCGCTCTGAACGAAAAGGGCTTCGTGCCCCTTGGCTTCTACAGGACCGCAGTCAAGCAACCGAGCGTTCATTCTCTGTACGCGGTTGAAGTTTCATTGTATGACTGGAATAGGCATGAAATGGTATTAGGCAGTGTATTGACACATTGAATAGTTTCATATGGATTTCTCCTACCGTTTATCTTATTTTGGAGACATTTCGGATTGATGAATCCGAAATGTCTCCAAAACTAGGCAACAGACAGGCAGGAGCGGTCCCTATGAGACTGGTCAAACTATGCTCTTCCAAACACTGGAACGGCAATGTTCTTGTTTCTGAATATTCATCTCTTTGTTGAAGCAGCAGCACATCAAAGTTGGAACACGGATAAAAAATAACAGTAGACTGTACTAAATATAATTTAGGTTTATCGTGTCTTAAACTTTGAACAATCCCCTCTCACGATCCCAAAATTGAGAACCAAATCCAGGCTTTTAAACTTGTAAAGCAACATGTTTAACACAAGACCATATTGTTACTGTAAAGCGTCTTCATACCATTCATTCCACCATTATACAGTGAAATAACCATTGCAATAAGATATTTATCCATTTAATGATGTTATTAATGAAAATTAAAATTAAAGAGGTAACATTCGTGTGTGAATATAACATGTATCCGCCAAGCAATTCCAACAGGGCCAATTTTTACTTCAGAAAACCATGAAAACAGAAAAATCGAAAACACCAAAATGATGCTTTTTGGCGAGCTCTGACCCCCTAAAAAAAGAAAAAAGACTCAAAATGGGCAAATTCAACATTTTTGTATGTCAGTGTGTTGAGCGCATGAAAATTTATATTTGTGCTAACTTTCATCTTGATTGTTGTAAATATGATCACACAGCAGTTCAGAATACACATTTTTGGGTTGTTTGTGCTTTGACCCAATAAAATCCTTAAAAATGTTTAAATAAAATACAAATAAAAAGAAGTCTGGGGGTATTGAACAAAAGGTATAACCCTACCAATTTTCAAGTCAATCCACTGAGAAATGGCTGTCGATTGAAAAGTGTATGGGAGAAGAAGTAAAACAATAGAAAAACAGTATTGTCTCTCCGGGGATATAGTAATATATCAGTAAACAAAAAGTGTTTAAATGAGCAAAAACAGTTAAGTTCGAACGAAGACTCAGTCCGATACAGATTCATTAGTCATTTAGATTAATATCTGTATATATGCAGAATCTTCAAAGATATATATTATCTAAAAAACTTAATAGGCAGATCTGACCAAGAGAAAGGGCGAGTTCTGGAGTGTAGACATATAGTAGAATAAAATACTAGATGTACTTCCACAGGGCTCTCGAATGTTCTGTTTCTAGAGTAAATAAAACCAAAATTAAGAGTAACAAATCCTTGTATTTCTTGCTTTTAAAGTTCATATGTCATGCTGTGTTCTAGCCTACAGAGTACATAATTCTTCTCGTGATTCTTGGCATGCGCAAGTTTTCCTGACGTCAAGACAATACAAATTGCAAACTTTAAGCGTCTCTTATATGACGTCATTTTAGTGCCTACTGACTGACAGACAACACACTACTACATAATGGGGCGAGTGATTAGAATAGGTGAAACAAACAGATATGGTGAGTTTTGGAATGTAGGGAGATAGTAGAAAAAATACAAAACAGTTTTATAGATATTCTTCACTGTAAAAAAAAAAAAAAGACAAGAAAAAGAAAGTGTTATGAATTAACACGTACATATCACTAACAGCAAGGGTACCCAGATGATGAAACAATGCATTTTAGTCATTATAAATAAGAACATAATATATTAAATCAATCATCAGTCTCAGTTTTTCTTTATAGAATATTAGGTTCACATTGATCAAATCTCAACCCTGTGCGCTGGGTAGAGACTTTATTTTTTAGTTCCGATTTATGTTGATGTTCCCGAAACACAAACTTGTGTGGACTATAACATATGACCGTTGCAAAGACTGTTTTTTGACGAAACGACATGATGATATTTCCGATTCAAAATTACATTTATTTAAATGCATTGTTGCGTTGTGGTGTCGCATTTTTGTGTATGTAGACTTTTTAAAATTCAACACAAATAACATGCATCAGCCAATAGATTCGTGTTATGTTGTGTTAGCTCACAATGGCGGTAGTGTTTTAACTTGTGTTGCAGACAAACTCGAGACTTGTGTTCGGCTGAATATAAGTGGTTTTTAACAAAATTGACTAAAAACATCAGCCACACAAGTAATTGTTACAACTAGATCTATCCAAGGCACCATCTACTAAAAACATCAGCCACACAAATACGTGTTACAACTAGATCTATCCAAGGCACCATCTACAAAAACATCAGCCACACAAATACGTGTTACAACTAGATCTATCCAAGGCACCATCTACAAAAACATCAGCCACACAAATACGTGTTACAACTAGATCTATCCAAGACACCATCTACTAAAAACATCAGCCACACAAATACGTGTTACAACTAGATCTATCCAAGGCACCATCTACTAAAGGAATTCTAACACACTAGTGTTTAGGAAACTAATTCTATTCGTGCTTCAATAAATCTATTTTACATCATTTTTACAGGGCTGCTCTATTTTATTCAACTGTTTACTGTAACCGGTCCACGTGTAAGAAATAAGAAAAGTGAGTATTAGATCACCTGTTTTTTTTTAATTAAATAATAGTACCCCATTAATCAAACCCAAACACCAGTACACTGGGTTAATGAAATGGACAAAAAGTATGGGCACCCCTCCCCTCAAATAAAGATAGTCTACATGAAAGTAATTATTTAGTGCACACTTACATATCTCATATTGACACAGAATAACAAAAGATTCGAGTAGTAAAACAAAATGTCTGTCTTTTGGCCTTCATCATCATGACCTAGGATGATACGTCTCCATATGTGATGTGACATTCTCCTTAGCATATTAGTGGTGGCCTTAGCGAAACTTAACATTGTTTTTGTTTCAAAGCATCAGTTGTTTCATATTGTTCCTTTACTACAATTATTACTAAAACGCGAAAAACCAAACTATTAACATGAGCTTTAAATAACGAGGGGGATTCACCCTCAAATGTTGCACATCAACGAACCTGATTATTTATCACATGTGAAACACATTGAGCAGAAGGTTATGAAAGAAACCATTTCTGCAACAATGTGACTTGCATATGTCATAAATAAACAACTGATTATATCACTAAGACAACTTACTTTACATTCACACCAACAAAGGGCGTAGTTAACTCAAAATATCCCAGTTCCAGCTACGAGGAGAAAGAACAAATAATCAATAGATTAAATGTTCAATAATTACATGATCCCCATTCATCCCCCACCCAATTCTTTAGCCAGCATGTAAAAACCTTTACAAGAAATTTCACGGCTTATACTAACTTGAAAAAACGGAAAATCCAAACTTCCAGGACATCAGTTTTGGAAGCCCCATTCAGAAGTTTGAAGGTTTCAGAACACTGTCCTTTATGCTAAATAAAAGTCATTGTAACCACACATGTATGTCACATTGCATGTTCTAAACCAGGGCATTTGGAATGGACATCTAATGACTGTTTGTCTTGTTTATCTCTGCGTGTGCAAACGTTGCCAATGATACGTCTAAGAAATGTTACGAACTGATATATTCCGAAAATTTCGAGGAGTTACGACAATAGCCGAATGAATATACGATGTCTTGCTACGCCGATGGATTAGACTGAGTATCGAGGGTCATAGTTTACTCTTGCCATTACTACAAGTAAACTACAAAGTTTCATAGGATAATTTAAATTTTACGTTAATGTCAAAATTTTAATTAAAAACTTTTTAGTGTCTTATCAATAAGATAATGTCGACCATTGAGTTTATTTTTTAGACCCATAGACATGTGGGGTCAAAACCTAGACATTTCAGTTATTTCCAAGCAAATGTTGGCCTCTAATTTCGTGCAAAGCTACTCGAGGGCTATCTGCGCTGTCCGTCCCTAATTTAGCAGTGATAGACTAAAGGGAATGCAGCTAGTCAACAATACCATACCCACTGCCAACTCTTGGGCTACTCTTTTATCAATGAGTAGTGAGTGAGATTAACAGTAACATTAGAATCCACCCCCCTAAGCTGAAAGAGCAAGCATGTTCTCTGACGAGGAGTCGAACCCGCGACCTGATGAAAGAAAACATGGTTGATTAATTCAGGAAGAGGCTATAAACCCGTAAATGTAAATTTATGATAACCACCAGTCATCTGAACAAAAAGGTATGTTTTTATTATTATGTCTTAACAATGGGAATGTCCCGTGGCGTATGACGTAAGTACTTTTGAGTTCATTCCTACCTATACTGATTATTTATATATTCATTGACCTAGAAAAGTCATTCTCACTTTCCTACTACTGGAACTTAATCATAGCTTACGCGAGGTTTAGCTTTCAAAGTTCAGGAAAGCAATATCGAGAAGTACAATGATTTGTGTGTTTTAGACAGTTTCTACAGA